CGAGTGAAATGCTATGAGGATGAAAGACACCAACGTTCATTCGGGACCCCCTGCTCCGCCCCAGGGTGGGTGGGGTCGTTCAACTGGACCGCAGGCTCGGGTCTTCCGCGTAAAGTCGGGGCTGCCGGGCGTGGCCGCAGGGCGTGGCTGCCGGGAGGAATAACACCTCGCGCCGACCAGCCCGGACCCAGGTGGGGCGGGGCCAGCCTGATGGGGGCGGGGCCTGTGTCCGGCCCAGCCCAGGTGCCCGCCCACCTGACAGCTGCGGGACTCACTGAGCTCTGTGCCAGCCAGGCCCAGAGCAGGTGGAGTGGAGCCCAGCGCCTTCAGCACCGCACCCTGAGTTCTCGCTGGGTCCTGCGTCGAGTTGCTCAGAGCAAACCGGTTATCACCATGGCATTCGCTAGCTGGTGGTACAAGACGGTAAATAGAAGCGGACGTCCTGGGCAGGACCGGGAAGGGAAGGGGAGGGAAGGTGTTCGCTTTGCCTTTCTGGGCGTGCGGACGAGGTATTGTCCGGGGTTTGGCGGGGAAGGGGTGGAGGCCGGGTGCGACCTCCGCTCGTGTCTTCAGGCTAGGCTCCGGGAGAGGCCCGGGCTCACCCTGCCGTGGTATGTGGGAGCGCGCCCGGACGTGCAAGTCCGTGTGAGCAGATGCACCGGGCTCAGCTCGTGCTCAGAACTTGAATGAAACAGGAATTTTTAAAGCTGGAGGAATTCCGCCCCAGGATGGGGATTCCTGGATGAACTCGGACTCAGCTCTGGAGAGCTAATATCTTGTGTTCGTTTTTAACCCATGAGTAAAGCTTAAGACAGGAATGTTGTTGGCCGTGCATTCTCCAACGCAAAGGAGAGGCAGCTGGGATGGAGGCATGGAGAAAACCCCAGACTCCAAGGAGCAGAAGCAACTGAGTGTGGTTAAGACCCTTGTGCGGAAGGTGAAGGGTAGCGCTGCTCTGTACTTTATGAGGGACAAAGATGTTCCATTTGTTTAGTGTTTTGAATGCCAGGCCAACCGATTAGGTGTGATATCCAGTCAAGCTGGCATTTGTAATGTGTAGGAACTAGGAGGCATGATTTAACATTAGATTACATTACTTATGTATACCAGTCTCTGCCAGCATGTGGTATTGTTAAAAAAAAAAAAGCAAGGATGTTGTAATCAGACCCTCTTTAGAAAGCAGTCTTGTGTTGGAATTAGTAAACCCTCTCTTACTAGCCAGTGACCATATACTGAACATCTAATGTGCCAGGCAAAGTGCTAGCCTCCAGGTACACAGTGGAAAACAGGACAGGCCTCTTGTTCTCAGTGGGCAATGAGACAACTTTTTTGAACCTGTTTCCATATCTATAAAATGGGGGTGATAATAGGCACCACGTAAGGGACTCATTAGATTCACGAATCAAAGTTCCGTGGGCATATACTTTTAAAATATTGGGAATTCCACTTTCCCTTGAGATATTTCTTCATGAATGTTTTCCCATTATGTATTCTGGGCTTTTAAAAGCTTGCTTTGAGTCATTATTGTCCTGAGGTTATCAAAATGCACCACATGAAGTCTGCAAATATGGATGTCAGTGGTTCAGAGCTGATATCAGAATCCTTCCAAACTGGTGGTTCTCTAAAGGAAATTGTGGGGAACATTTGGATGAAAGTAGTTTAAATCTATGCTTTTCACTCTTACTTTTAAGAGCAGGGTGACATTTTGTTGAAACCTCTCTTAGAATCCAATTTTGGAAGTATAGTATTAGAGAAATTGTTTGCTAGTAGGAAGGTCCTAAAGTCAGCAATATGCCTGTGGCCAAACTTTGACTTTTCCTAAACCAGTGCTGTCCAGTGGAAACATAGTGAGCCACCTATGTCATTTTAAATTTTCCAGTAGCCACATAAACAAAAGAAACAGATAAAGTTAGTAGCATATTTTATTTAGCCCACTATATCTCAAACATTATTTTAACATGTAATCACTGTATAAGTCATTTATTTTATATCTTCTTTTTCATATTAATTCTTCAAAATCCAGTTCACACCTGCCACACAATTCAAGTGCTCAGTAGGCATGAGTGACTAATGGCTAAAGATGTGGACAGTACAGCTTAGGTTCCTAACCAGTTTTGTATGGTGATTGTGAGGGGGTGATCAAAGGCCATTTGAGAATTATATGCAAGTTAAGGGCCATTTTTCCACAAAAGAATATACACATACACACCCAACAGCCCAACAGTAAATCTCCAAAAGGTCCATGGAGCCCATTTATAACATATATACATACATAATATATATGCATGTATGTATATATAATAATATATACTTTTATAAAATATATTGATATATAATAGCATGGCTTTTGGTAAATCTCATAACAAATATCTTTAGTGGGATCCTTTAAATACTGAAAAAAATTGTGACTGACCTAACTTTAAAAATTTAGGCAGAATATAATTAATTAAAAGAAATATCTGTCATGTGTTTGTTTAAAATAATGCCACATTTCTCTTAAACATTGCAATGTATATTTCCACATTGAATGACATCAATATCATTGATCTTCTGAAGTTAGAGTTATAAAGTTAAAGAACATCTGATGAGCATCGTAATGATGAAGAGTAAATTTGGTTTACACCAGTAATTACATTCCTGAGTCCTAAGTTGACTTGATTAGTCCATATTAATTAAAGGTGTTCCTTAGCCTAATTAGACCCGTGGGCCCCGTGGCGGCATGATCAAGGAGCCGAGTCATTTGGGAGGCCCATCCTTGCAGCCAGCCTGGGAAGAGTGTCTGTCACAAGCCTTCCATGGCTGGACAGACCACGTGGCTGCAGTGATGCTTAGGAGTAGGAATGCAAATTACAGTGTCTGCAAAAAGGGCACAGGCTTCAGGTGGAGAGAGAATGGAGGTCAGACACTTCAGTGTTTTGGTTGACAGTTTACGAGTTACATTGCCTCCCATTGCAGATAAGACTTTTAAACTAAGAGTGATATCTCATGATGGTGTTCTTTAATCAGTTTTGACACTTCCCCAAAAGTTAATTATATTCTACAAGTGCTTTTTAAAGAATGATATAGCTTGCTGGGGGTGTAGAAGTGGGTGGTCATTTGAGATTCTTAGGTGTATGAATAATTGGTTTTGAGTAGGTTGTTTCAGTGGAATACAAGACTTCTCTGAGCAGCCCATTTCTATTCTCTCTTTTCCTTGAGGTTTTTTTGTTTTTGTTTTAATTGTGGTAAAATACACATAACATACAATTTACAACTTTAGCCATTTTTAAGTGTAAAGTTCAGTGAAATGAAGTATATTCATATTCTTATGATGTCATCACCACCATCTATCTCCAGAACTCTTCTTATCTTGAAAAAATTGAGACTCTATACCCATTAAACAATACATCCCAATTTGCTTTACAAACACGAATTCAAATATAAAGCATTGTATTTAAGTATCTATGTTCTTTACCATTTTCCTTTTTTTATTCTATTGTAAGGACATTTAAGATGATATTGATATATATGAATTTTGTTTATTCATTCATCTGAGAATGAACACTTAGGTTGCTTCCATTTTTAAAGGAACCACCTTACTGTTTTCCAAAGTGGTTGTACCATTTTACATTCCTACCATCAGTACACAGAGGGTCCAACTTCTTCACATACTCACCAATACTTGGCCCACTGCCTTCTGACTTTTAAGGTTTGCAATCTTATTGAATATGCCTTGTATGTGACAGTCAATTTTTCTTGCTGCTTTCAATATTCTGTCTTTGTCTTTCAACAGTTTGATTGTAATGTGGATTTATTTGAGTTCATCCTACTTGAAGTTTGTTGAGTTTCTTTTTTTTTAATATATATTTTATTGAGTTTTTACAGAGAGGAAGGGAGAGGGATAGAGAGTTAGAAACATCGATGAGAGAGAAACATCGATCAGCTGCCTCCTGCACACCCCCCACTGGGATGTGCCCACAACAGAGGTACATGCCCTTGACCGGAATCAAACCTGGGACCCTTCAGTCCGCAGGCCAACGCTCTATCCACTGAGCCAAACCGGTTAGTGTGAGTTTCTTGTTTATATTCATATCTTTCATCAAATATGGGAAGTTTTAGGCCATTATTCTTTAAATAATCACTGCTTCTTTTTCTCTCCCTCTTCTTGTGGGACTTCCACCAAAGATCCGTTAAGTTCTGTCCACTTTTCTGTAGTCATTTTTCTTTCTGTACCTCAGATTTAATCATTTCAATTGTCCTATATATAGGTTATTATTATATTTCTTCTGCTTCCTCAAATCTTCCTTTGAAAATCCCTCTAGTGAATTTTTCATTTAAGTTATTGTATTTCTCTGCTCTAGAATTCCTTTTTACTTTCTTTGTAATCTGTCTTTTTACTGATGTTGCTTCTTTTACATACTTTTTTTTTTTTACTTTCTCTACTCACTGATTTTTAAAAATAAATATACCTCTCACATTAGCATTCTCAATGAGTTTGGGGTTTTTTAATTAAAGTAAAATGGGTGAGTAGGGAAATACATAGTCTTGATAAGAGGACTCTAAAATTTTCAAAAGTTTTTACCACTGAAGAAGAGAGAATAACATAATGAATTCCTCATGTACCAATCCCCTGACTTCAATAATTATCAACATTGTAACATTATGCCAGTCTTGCTTTATCTATCCAACTTCCAGCCCCACCAATATACACACACACACACATACACATACCCTTCCAAAGTATTTTAAAGTGTGGGAATTGCACATTTAAGTGTCATCGCTGTGACCAACTCAGTATAGATTGTTTGGAAAATGAATTCTCTTTACCCTGTGTACTTCATTTTCTTAGGTATAATATGGAATTGTGAGACTAATATAATACACAGTCATGAGACAAAGTCGTAAACATAAACTTATCAGATGAACCTAGTTCCTTTGTTCTTATAAAAAATAAAATTTCTGTTCTAATACAGCCATTAACTTTTGCTTGCATCTCATATTCATTTTACTGTCTCATAATTCGCCACAATCAGATTAGTGCCAAAGAAAAAGAAGGGAGTGAAATAGCTTTTATTGTATTCTTAAAATGAGCCAGGAAGTGGGCCAGGTTCCTCATTAACTCAGCCAATTTCATAAATATCCCATAAATATCCCTGGGGGTAGGTTAGCTCCATTTTACAAAGGAACACACACACCCACACCCACACCCACACACACGCACACACACACACACACACACACTCACACACACTCACACACACACACGTTAAATTACTTGGTCCTAAGGTCACATATCCTTTCAGATCCATGCTCTTTCTGTCCTATTAGAGTTTGTCAGGAAAAGGAATTCAGGGGATTGGTTACTCAGGTTATAGAAGAGGCTGGGCAGCCAACTGGAGTGGGTGAGGCAACCCAGAGATTAGAAGTTGCAGGAAGCTGCTACA